TTTGTGCTGCTCGAGCTGTACCCTATGTGCACGTACGTTGACTATCCTGGACAGGTGACAGAATTTTTGGATGTCACTTTGGATGCTGCAAAGGCGAAGGCCGCTATCACCACTTTGAAACGGAGCGGCACTTGGGTGAATTATCACTCTCGGCAGCTTGCCATCACGCTTGCAACGTACAGTGGTGAGGTCAGTGTGTTCACAGTCAGTCATCTCGAAGTCAACTTTCTCAAAACTGGTTTACTGCATTTGGAGGCAGCTACGCACTCCATCCCAGACTACAGAGGCCGAACGTGGCTCACCATCGTCCCTGTTGTTGGAACTTACATAGTGTTCGGCTGGATCCTTCGCTTCCTCGATAATGCTAGAGCTTCAGTTGATGATACCAAGCGTAGCAAGAACATGAGACCAAGTCAAATTAAATCGGTCGTACGACAATACCTGCACATATTTGCCATGTTGTGCATCAGATTTGGTGCTTTACCTGCTTTCGCTACTCTGTGGACTATCACAATTTCATTGGACTTCGATAAACAGCTTTTGCGACTTCCTGAGACCAATGGAAAGGCTAGACTGGAAAGGTACGAAGACACGGTATCTGTCATCAAGGCTCTTGACAGAGTGGCCGCATGGACAAATGCACTCAGCATAGTCGGAGCTATCGCAATATTCCAGCTCGGACTATTTACTATTCGCCAGTTAAGTTTCCACCCGCAGCTAAACGTGCTGGCTCGCACTGTTGTGAATTCCCTTCGACAATTCCGCGACTTCTTCTTTGTTTTTCTTATCATTTTCATCACATTCTCATTCATGGGATACCTCCTGTTTGGTGGCCAAGTTCGTGAGTTCTCGACTGCGGCGCTGTCCAGAGATTCTTGCATGAATATGCTCTTTGGCACTTTCAACTTCGATACTATCTACAATATTCGTGGCTCTGGTTGGTTTTATTGGGGCTACATGACCATTGTGAGTCTCATTCTTCTCAACATGATGCTGGCTATTGTAATGGGGACCTATAAAGCAATGAGCAAAGACGGGTATCAGGGAGAGATTAACGTGTTGCTAGCCACTAGAATCTCCTATATCTACCGCTACCCGTGGCAGTTCTTGATCAAGCATTTAAAAGCGTTTTCCAAGTACGTGGTTCGACAAATGGGATGCGGAAAAGACGGTCACTCGATGGAAATGGAAAGCAGCAAATTGAGCCACTCCGATGTGATTGTGAACGGCAAATTCCGACCGCCAGTGTTGCTGATGGTATTGAAGAAAAAGCTGAAAGATGATGGAGCATACTTCGACGACGATGCTGACCCCGACGCTTTTGCGCGGCTTCTTTCCCTACTGTGCAGTCTCCGACAAGGAAATGATTGATACGTTTGAGTTTCTCCGCCAGGGTTTGCTTCTCAACGAAGCCGTGACGAAGCAAAGTCCCACTAAGAAGTTCGAGTCAGAGAAGTCGAAGACTTCGCGAGTGGCAGAGCTTCAACAGAACCTTGCAAAGTTGTTGGAACAAATAAACAATGACTGCCACTGGGATGCAATAACTTGCTTGCTCTGACAGTTGAGCACCACTGCGCTTCTAAAACCAACACAATGGACTAAATTTAAGTTCTAATCCACCTTAATTTATTTTCTCCATGCCACAAAGTATTTTCTATTTCTTGAACTCGCTCGAGTAAGTAGTAGCGATGTGAGTCTCAATTCAAACAGAGTATTAATCATCAAGTTGAAAGTGTTAATAACTAGCTTGATGTCGCAGCAGTGGAGGATTTAATAAAAGCTGCAAAGCTATCTTTAAGTTCGAAATCAAGTATTTTCGGCGACTGGATGCATCTTGTGGACGAGATTGGCACTTCATGGTGTGGCATGGCGCCATGGTGTCATCGAAGCGGATCCACGTTCGGGTATGGCATGGATTTCTCCCTTTGCATCATTTATTATCCCAAGACGAAGCGGAAATAGAGGTGCGTTGATTATTATCAACCCTCGACCTTCGAGAGTTCTAACGTTTATGGTTGTGATTTCAGAAATGTGTTAGTAAATTCTACTTTGATTCTTTCAGGTTTGCGGATCTTCGGATGCAGGTGCGAACGCACATAGCCTCATATCTTCTCAAGTACTGGAATCAGTTTTTGTTTTCATCTCATTCTAGATTCGACTCAAGCTCAAAGAACTACCACAGCCACCGCCAGTTGCCAACCCAGTTGTGTACTGGGATATTCTCGAGATTTTTGACGAGTATCTTCCTCTGCTGCTTTCTATTCAACGCTATCACTTGGCTAGACACTCGAATAGCTCAACACTTCCGTATTTTCTCTCTACGTTTCCACCATTATTTTACGGCTTTGGTGAACTCAATTTACTCACTGATCGACTTGTTGGAAAACAGCAGCAAGCTCAGTCTTGTATCTCGGTTGAATTGGTGCTCGTACTATGCTTGATGGGTCAATTACACGCTTTACACGCCGAGACTCTAACTGGTCAAGGAGATGAGACACTAACAATAACGAGTTGGCCCAGACTGCAGCATGCTGAGCTTTCGTGGCAAAGTGCAGAGAGTTTTTATCGCTGGGCTGCGTCGTATTCGAGTCAAAGTAAGGAACGTCTCGACGATAACGATTCACCAACAGGATCGATTTGGAGATTCTTCGACGTGATGGCGAGTACGACAGCTTGTCTGGCACGGGTGTGCTCAACCCACAGACTTTCGACTCATATTTCTGGTGTACGGCCCCACGTTCAATTGATACAGTTAGTAGCTACCGGACGGTATACTAATCTAACGTTCTTGTGCTCCGTTCAACAAGTTGGCTCTGACAGAAATTCGACCTGAACGACTGTTTCGAATTGGCTCTGTGTTTGCCAGACGAGCTCTTACGCTAATTCGAGAGGCAAAATCTAACCAGCCTCATCGAACAGATACCAGGTAAAGCTGTTACGATGGTATAGTGCTCTGTAGCTTTAGTTAATGATCTTGGTCTCAGGTTTTCTCATCAGCTGAAATGGTGCCTATGCGCTAACGAGATTCGGTGGATGGCAATTTACTATCAATGTGAACTAGAAATCTACCGACTAGATGCAAACCCTGGTGCGTTATGTGTTAATTTCCAGTTATGTGTGAACTCCGTACTCACTCATTTTTCGTGAATTTAACAGAGATCGCACTCCACTATTGTGAACATCTACTCAAGCTTCGAATACCGCCTCTGTCATCGATATCTTCTCAACAGCAAGAAGTTTCTTTTACCCAGCTTGCCCATGAAATCCAACTACAACATCAGACACATCTCACTGACGCGCTTGATGAAAAGAAAAATCTATTAGACGATTGCCGATCACGATATGGAACGACATGGACATTTACATCGACTGTCAAGTGTTTAGGCACTGAGCTGTTGATTATTCGAGAAATGGGACCGGTGTTTAATCAAGAACAGCGATTCATCGATTCTGTTGTGGAAGAGGAAGAGAGCAACTACGCGTCTCCTTTTCTCGTTGAAGTGATCGCTGCGAACGTCGATCAGGCAGTTTTGCATGAAAAAGGCGACGATTCAGAGTCAGAATTGCCAAAGGCATGTGAAATTATCGTAACCAAGACGCCTTCAGAGCGAGAAATCAAGTCTGTCACCAAAGGTTTGATGGACTGGCGTATAGTCGCAGCAAAACACGAAACAAGTAGTCGAACTGAGCCTAAAAATCAAGATCAAGAAGCGGAATCATCTACGAAAGTATCGACCTCTGGAAATTTGAAAAAGCGTCCATCAAGTGCAACACCGCAAGGTTCTGGTTGGGTAACGATGAACTACGGAGGCAAGTTGCTACATTTCGAAAAGACCTTGGATCCTCCGGCCCAGCACAACCACCTCAGTGACCCCATCCGACGATCCAAACCGCGGCCTTCATCGTCGCCCTGTTACTTGTCGTCCAAGAAGACCGCCAAGCCCAATCATGATCATAAACCTGTCGATTATAAGAAAATGTGGCGAGCACCTTGTGCCCTGTGTGAGCGAAGGTTCATGCGCTCCAGTCTTCCTGGAGTTGTGGTCATGAAGCGAATTTACGATCTCCGTCGCAAGTGGGGAGTCATCCAAAACTCCAAAAAGACCAACTCTCCTTCAGTATTATACGGGACCGCAAACGTTTGTCTTCAATGCCAAGAAATATTAACACATGAGGAGATCAAGCTGACACCTAAAACCACAGACGATAAGGCCGTAGTCTATAAAGGTAGCAACCAAGACAAAGACGCGGAAATCACTCGGATGATCCACGATTCTATTCTCTATCAGTGGCATAAACAACCACCAAGTCACAATACTACCGACAACAGTCTGGAAGATATCGCAGTCAACAAACGCGTGCGTCAATCTTCGACTGTCTGTAGTATGAAAGCACAAAACGCCTTAGACCCCGACACCAACCGCTCTGCCCATACAAAGGAGGAATTCCAGCCGTGGTGGGAGATCGATCTCGCCAACTACGTTGAAGTCCATTCAGTCAAAGTTTATCTTCGAGACGAAGTGAGTCATCTGTATGCCGCTGCCAGAGGAAACCCTAGTGGACAGACAACTAGGGTTTATCCTCTGCACATCAGTATCTCGATGAAGAGTGGCGTAGGACGCAACTGCGACGATATCATCGCTGGTTCTGTGAGTTCCATGTGCATTCCAGACAATATGGGCCCACTGATCGAGTTTATAGCCCCACAGAAGTCTCGAGGCAGATTCGTTCGCGTCCAGTGTCAAGGTCGCGCCATTCTGCACATTGAACGCGTCAATGTGTATGTAGCCAAGTCTCCATTGATCGACCCAGTACAGAGGCGACAGCACTTTCGGCAAAAACTCCAACGTGCTGCCTTTTGTGCGTCTGTACTCGCCACTACAACCACTCCACACACAGGATCCAATCGAATTGCAGTCACTGCAGAACCATCGCCAAAGCAAAGAATGTCTACATTGGGACCTCGAACTACGAGACGCAGAAGCAGTCAGACGTCAACGAATAAGACTCAAAATGAGTCTCAGTTCGCAGCGTCCTTGTTTTTCGACCCGGAGCGAGCTGAGAAGAAGCGGGTCTCGAAGTTATACGCTAAATTCAAGGGTTTGCTGGATGCTAGAGCGAAGTATATCGCACCTAAAAAGACTATAGACGAGAATGTACCGGAAGGAGGAGAGGATGATGAAACACACAGGACAGAAATGAAGGAAAATGGATAGTAATTGTAGTAATTGCGATCATTGCTTCTGGCTTAGTAAGAGGTCAAGTTTCTGTTCGAGTATAGCTAGTTGTCGAGCCATTCTCTGGATGTCAGTATCCTCCGTTGGCGTCACGGTATCGGTTATATTCAGCCCCTGTCGAACCACATACGCTGAATGGACCGTCTCGTCTTCGTCTTTACTTTGCTGCTCACCATTGTGAGCGTCTGAATTGCTGGAGTTGGGACTAACAAACCCATCCATGATATGCTGGAGTGTAGCTCTAGCTTCACTTTCTTGAATACTCGCCGACGGGAACATTTCCATGAGCATTCGTGGTGTCAAGTTCCCAGTTTGGGTTTCCTCCTTCTGCTCGAGCATAGCGCTCAGTCCACGCTCCAGAAGCCAAGGTCGGATCCGACCGCGAAAAACCACATCAGCTCTATCCAATTCAGCAAAGTTCAATTGAGGTCTAATGGTCTCACCAATCTGCGGTGCAGTCCTTGCAGAAACGTCTCGTTTATTCTTCCGACTTTTGCAACGCACAAGGTCGTTCATCCACAGTAAACAGGTCCAGACCATATTATCAACGATCCGAGTCACTGCCAAGTTGTACTGGGACTTGTAACTCTCGCTGCTCACTTCTGCGTAGGCATCCAACACGATAGCGAGCATCATATTCAACAACACGAGACTCACGACGATCATGTAACCCCAGTAGTAAAACATACAAACGGGGGCATACAACCCTTGAATACTGTCGTAGTCAAAGTTCCCGAAGAGCATATTGATACACGTCTCCATCGCAGTTTCCAAGGACGAAAACTCCTCGACTCTGTCACCGAATAAAATGGTCCCAGACACAGCGAACGTCACGAAGATGACGATAAATACGACGAAGAATGCACCAAACTGATGCAAAGCACTGGCCACAGTTCTCGTGAGAATACTCAGTCTTGGGTGGAAGCGGAATCTCTTCAAGATCCTTAAACTCAATAGGAAAATGGCTAGAGTGGCTATCAGACGCAGCGCCACTGTGAGCTTAGCCACCGCTTTGAGTCTGTCAATCACAGCGTACAACCGATCACGAGCCTCAGCATCAGATGCCCAGTTCTTCCCAGTCACAACGAGAGAAGCCAAATTGTTCCGGAATTCCTTTTGATACATGAGCAGAACGATGGAAATCCACACGAAGTAGAAGGCAACAACCGCCACAGTTGAAGCGTGCTCGATAACGACCCAGACGTCACCACATACAAGGGTTCTAATACCCGAGCGACGGTATCGATACAGTCTGCGGAGTTGCGTGCCCAACGCTAACAGGAAGAACATCAAGACGATGGTATCCGCAGCGGTGGTGAGAGAGGCACTGTACGGGTTGGAGAGAGCAGGTGTGGTCGATGAACTCGTCTGTACGGAGCCTCCTTCCGAGAAAGTTAACTGCATCTCAGTAACAGCGTAACCTTGCAACTCGCCGTTGTACGTGACGATGGTAATCAGCAGCTCTTCAGTGGAGAAGTCGATCCAGTCGCCCTGAGCTTTAAGAGCATTGATCTTACCTATTGCATCGGTCGCAGGTGTGTCGAAGCTGATCAACTTTTGCTCCGTTGTCGTGTTAGAAGCGTCGTAGCAGTGAGGGTACAAGTTCTCGAGGAATGGCTGCGTGATACACGTGTGTATCGCCTTTCGAGTCACTTGGAAGTTAACAGCGCCCAATACTTTATTGAACGCGGCTACGCGACCCCATAGGTCCTTTGTGAGAGCTTTACCATTGTAGTCTTCGGTTATGAAGACAGAGGGCACGAATGTGTCTGTCAACCAGTCAAAGACGTCGGAGATTTGGCCGATGTTGTAGAATTTCATTGTCGAGTCCGTCGTGACCGTGTCGCTGCCTGAAGTCGCTAGCGTCGACGACACAGCATAACCCTGCTCGTACATATTCGTCGCTGGGATGTGCGCGAACAGCATCGACACGAAGGCGCAGAAGTAGAGCACGGGCACAGGGATACGCCAAACAGCTCGGACAATCTTACGGTCGTGGCACAGCGAGTCGTAGGCGGTCTGAACGGGGATTTCAAGACGAGAGGCATCACCAGCCTTTATCTTTTGCTGCAAACTGTCACTTGCTACGTTGGGAGCCATGCTGCCAGGGATTAACTTCTTCATACTCGACGTCTACGACCGTCTCAGGAGTCGTTTAGTGAAAAGCCGCAGGGTTTCACTGTTCGAGACTTGTTTAAACATGGCAACAAGACATAACGGCATCACTCAACGATCTACTGGAAGCAGTTGACCCGACTTTCGAGTTCGCAATTACATTGACACGAATACAAACCTTAAATTGCACTACGACCCCTACTTTTCTTACTCGCCCTTGCCGCTCTTCGTCGACGTGGTATCAGCTCTCCCTGCCATCAATTTCAGTACCCCAGCGACCACAAATGCGATAGCCGACAGCACAGCAACCCACTTGGTTCGGGTGATGACACTTACGACGTTCTCGAGCGTCTCCCATCGTTCGGGGAAGAGTCTCAACAGCTTTAAAATGGACACGTTCTCCACCACATCGCAACTCGCCGCAAGCACTGGCAACGTCCAGACCAATTGGCGATCGGGCCACAGACGACGCAAAACTCCCAGTAACGCTGTCGAGTAGATGAGCGGGAAGAGAATCAGATCGAAGGCGTAAAAGTCCACGTACAACGCTCTCCCCACCACTCCCAGACACTCCAAATGCGGAAAAATGGCGTCAGGAAGCAGCCAAAAGGCGCTGTCCAACACGCCACTACACTGTGGAGGGAGCTCTCGCGCCCACTGCTTCTCCATCTGCAGGATCAGCATGAACGACGGCACCAACGCGCCCAAGGCCGACGCGAACAAATGCGACTCGAACGTCATGAGTAAATGAAATGGACCATTTCTTTTGTTCATTTCAAATGGTACTTCAACTTGGCACAAAATTTGTGAAAAGAAAATAGTCCGTCACAAATGCTCCTTAGTAATCAGCGACGGTAGTCAGCGCTCCATCGTCCGTCGCACTGCCAGCCAGCCTGGCGACGTGCGTGAATATCCTGTGCGCGGCTCTGCGGCGCTGCGCCATGGCCTCCGAGACCCTACAACCCACCCGCAAACGCAGCCAACCGTCGGATTATGAGCAGCAGCTCCAGCGTGATGAGACCGTCCAGCAGCATGCAGCTCCAGTTCTCGGAGTTGCGCCAATCAAGCGACGCCGCTCATCGGCATCCTCAGCGGAAGAACACTCGTCATCTACAGTTGGAGAGCAGAAACAACAGTCGCCAGTTGAAGAGAAGGAGAAAAATCTGGATGGAGCTCCTGAAGGCGAACTCTTCCTTGTGACGGTCAAGACGCGAGAGGAACTGCTAGAGAGCGAGGACGTAGCCTCGGACGCTGAAAAACTGGACCAACTACTGCAACACAAGCAGCAGATAACAATAACTACTACTACGGATGATGACGTGGCTTGGGGTCACGAGTTTGAGGCGCTGGACTCGCTCCGCAGCTTTACCAAGCATCACCAGGACGCGGCTCGACGTCAGTTGTGAGGGAACGATTGCTCTCAGCTCTTCTAAACGTACTAGACTGACACTGTGACTGTTCCTGCTATTGATGTAGAAACAATGATGTGCTGAAGTTGCTGGTATTACCCGCAGCATCGAGTTTGCGCTCAGCTATGGCTCGTAACGCGCTGCTGTGCGTGCAGGATCTGATGCTCGGACTCAAGACCGACACAGCTGCCCATTTGGATGCTATTGTTCCGGTACTGCTGAACCGTGCATGCTCTGAGAAGCAGTTTCTAAGGGACTTGGCGAGAGAAGTGCTGGACACGACGCTGCTAGCAGGAGCCAACGAGGAGTTTTTGCGACCGCTACTGGCCACGAGTACGACCGAGAAGAACGCACAGATTGTCAGCGTGGTACGCCATACTTCGCTAAAGCTGGTTACTGGACGTCTAACTAATGGAATTATCACTGCATAGGCTGGATTGTATGTGACCAAGTGTGTCATCCGGATGGAGCGCGAGCATCTCCGCAAATTTGTGCTGGAGACTCGCACCTCGTTCTTTGACGAAATGGCAGCCTTCCTTAACTGCAAGGTTGTCGAGTGCAAGGCAGCTACACGACGTACCTGCCAACACACACGCCGAGTCATTGGGGTAGCGTAGTCTCTTAACTGTCTAGGGTTTCTAGCTTGAGTTCTAATGGGTCAATTTGTGGATTTTTGATGACAGAACGACGAGTTTCTGGCGCTGGTCAAGGAAAAACTGAGCGGCAGTGCGCAACTAGACGTCCTGAAGGCTTCAGAGATCCGCAAGGCTGCGAAGCCTGGCCACGCCAAGTCGAGTATTCGAGAACGTATGATGCAGATGAAGAAGCAGCAGCAACAGCAGAAGAAAGTGCAGAGTGGAGGGAACGACATTTCGGTCGTCGTGGTCGCACCGCCGCGGTCGAGAGCGTCTTCAACGCAGGCAGCACCGTCGTTATGACCACAATGCTGGGATGAGCTATTATGCAGAATCTCCGCATTTTGCTGTACCTTGTTGATACTGGCATTGTGTGGTACTTTTACTGTGGTCGATCTCCGAATGGTAGAGATCCCAGACCACTTTAGACAGCGATTGATCGTGCTAGGCCGTTTGTACCTTGCCCATTGCCGATCATGGTGAGGTCTTGCAAGTCTAGGTTACCTGGAACAAGACTTGCAATCGAGTCTGCAGAGCAAGATATTGATTGGAATAATGAAAAGTCTACTCACCAGCACCTAGTTATCGGTGACGACACAGCTCCTCAGACCCACCTCCAGCTCGCCCTTACGCAGATGAAGACCGATGAAAACCACCTGCGTTACGCGGCTGTCTTTGCTGTTGAGCTCGTCTTCCGTCCAGCGTTCTTCTGACGCATACACTTCGAACAACTCGTGCACAGCCTGCAGAATGAACTTGTTGGTCTCGCCCGCAATCGCCACCACGCCCTTGACGCGGAACAGTTTCTGGCGCGTGGCAGCTTCAGAGCCTGGCTTAATCTCCGCGTCTACATCTTCATCCTGCTCCCACAAAAGTTCTCCTAGCCACCTCTCGAGTTTTTCCTGGTCCAGGGGTCCATCTCGAATCCTCACGCACGTGGTCTGCATGCCTCCTGTGTGGGTCGCATGGTCATGGCTTTCGTCGTTGCAGTTATCGTGGTCATGGCCCTCCTCTTTACCTTCAGCTAACAATGTGTTCAACTCCTTCTCCACCTGCTCGGCTCTACTGGTCGTGAAGCTCTTAATGTTGAGAATGTCGTCCAGGTTGACTCTGGATCTCTCGGTCCATCGGACGCTGGCCATGCCGTTGACTTGTGTCACCGTTTGCTCGATCTCCAGTCTCTGCTCCTTGTCGGGCACGAGGTCGCCCTTGTTCAGCAGGATCCGGTCTGCGTAGGCCAGTTGAGCTGCCGCCTCTCGCTGTGTGTCTGGATGATTCAGATGGAAGTTGAGGCGTGGGGAGTCCACGAGAGTGACGATCCCGTCCAGGAAGATTCGTCCTTCAAGCTCGTCGTCCACCCAGAAGACGCTGGCCACTTTACCAGGGTCTGCCATGCCCGTGGTCTCCACCACGATGTAATCGAAACGATCTCGACGTTCCAGTAGCTTCTCCAGCGTATTCACCAGGTCGTCGCGCACTGAGCAGCACACGCAGCCATTGCTGAGCTCGTAGAATCCGTCCATCACGTCGCCACCCGCGCCATCTTTAGCTACGAGACTCTCGACGCCGATCTCCTCACCAAACTCATTCTCAATCACAGCAATGCGCTTGCCGTGAGATGCGGATAGGATGAATCTGAGCAGCGTCGTCTTGCCTGCACCCAAGAAACCAGACAAAATTGTTACGGGGATCATAGGCAGAGCAGGCGCTTCCAGCGCGGGCGGCGCATCGTCCAGCGGCTCAAGTTCCGGCAGCTCCATGGCTATCCCTGTATGTGAAGATGTTGTCTGAAGTGCATGTTCTCTGAATGTACAAATGCACCCAGTATTATTAAGTACGAATATTAGGCTGCCGAAGATTGGCTGAAAAGGGATCAAATTTGGAGCGTAAACGTGGTGTGTCATACACTACCTATGTGCGCCACACCACGAAACGAAAATCCCGTCGAAAAGCTCCAAACGGTCAAAGGGAGAAGAAGGCTGTGGATCTGATCGTCAGAGGGAGGGAGCGTTAGTTGCCGCTGTCTGCGAATATGGTCAAGAAAGTTGGTACGTGGGCATCGGCCTCTTAGTACTAGTCACTCACACTTACTATACTGACACTCGATTGCTTGTTGCCATTGTCTCTGCTGCACAGGCAAGTACGAGATTGGCAAGACCCTAGGTGAAGGAACCTTCGGAAAGTGAGTTCAACCCTCTGCTATCGTATTACCATAAAGTATGCCTAGAGGTTTACCTGCGCTTGTACCTGTAGAGTGAAATATGCGGTGAACACGGAGACGGACGAGCGCGTGGCCATCAAAGTGCTGGACAAGGAAAAGATCCAAAAGCAGAACATGGGAGCGCAGATCAAGAAGGAGATCTCCATTATGAAGATGGTGCGCCACAAGCACGTCGTGGTGCTTAAGGAAGTGCTGGCCAGTCGCACGAAGGTCCGTCGCTAGCTGCAATATCAGGAAAGGGGGGCAACAGTGGATGGATTTTGACTTGGTTCGTATTGCTGGTTGTAGATCTTCATCGTGCTGGAGCTGATCACGGGCGGCGAGCTGTTTGACAAGATCGTGAGCGAAGGAAGGCACGTCTTCAAGCAAAGATCGCATAAAGAGCGTGCATGAGATGGTGCAGGATACATTGCTGACTCATTCTTCGTTTTATGACTATGACTACAGGTTTAGCGAGGAGACGGCGCGCTTCTACTTCCGCCAGCTCGTGGATGGCGTCCAGTACTGCCACGAAAACGGCGTGTGCCACCGCGACCTGAAGCCGGGTCTGTCTTCTGCATTCTACCTGTACTGCGAGACCTTGTTACCCTTAATTGACTAAATTTTGCCTACAGAGAACCTGCTACTGGATGAGAATGGAGACCTGAAGATTTCCGACTTCGGTCTCTCTGCACTGTACGAAGGCGGCGGTCCGGACGGCCCGGAGAGCTCTCGTGCGTCGCTGCTGCACACGACATGTGGTACACCCAACTACGTGGCCCCTGAAGTCCTTGCCGACAAGGGCTACGACGGACGTGCTGCTGATGTGTGGTCTATGGGAGTGATCCTGTACGTGCTGCTGGCTGGTTTCCTGCCGTTCGATGAGCCCACGATGTCGGCGCTGTTCCGCAAGATCCAGAAGGCTGAGTTCTCGTACCCAAGCTGGTTCACTCCGCGTGTCAAAGCGCTGCTGAATCGCATCCTGGTGCCTGATCCGGAGACGCGTATTACGATCAAGGAGATCCTGTGTGATGAGTGGTTTGTCAACGCTAACGGTGCTGACGAGCAGGTGGCTCCGGCTGCTGGTCCTGGCACAATTAGTGAGGAGTTGGCTGCTGCTCCAGTGCCGAGCCCAGTGGACCACATGACCATTAAGCCGAGCCAGGCTGATCTGGACGCCGCTATCTTGGAGCATCAGGACGAGATCAACTCTGGCAAGAAGGACAAACAGGACGGCGGCCTGAAGGTGATGAACGCGTTCGACTTGATCAACATGTGCGGCGGCATGGCGTTGAATCGCATGTTCCAGAGCAACGACGAGAAGCGAGTGAAGCGGTCGACACAGTTCACGTCAACCATCCCGGCGGCGAGCATCATGACTCGCCTGACGGGCCACTTGGAGAGTCTCCACTGCGAGATCAACGTGGAGAACTCGTCCAAGGTGAAGGCTGTGTTGCAGACCCCCAAGGGCGCAGTTGGAGTGGTGATCCAGATCTTCATGCTCGCGGACAGTCTCCACCTGGTGGAAGTACGTCGTGGTAAGGGCGACATTTTCGAGTACCACAAGTTCTACACGCAGTTGAACGAGCAGATGAAGGATTTGATCGCCGACTCTGGCAGCAGCTAAAAGCCTCCAAGAGAGATGATAGCAAGTATGCGTTAGTGCTGATCTCAGACATTGGACAGCACCAAAGAGGTCGTAAACCTCTTGACTGATTTCTCTTCTTCATGTTTCTTGCTCTAGTGAGAAATACACATACAATACGCTATTGACAACTCGAGTCTTTGTTGAGGTTAGTGCAGTGTCTTCCCTTAGACGACGACTTCAGTCTTGGTAGGTTTCTTGGCTGCTACATTGCCAAGGCCACTGAGGCCTCCACCAAGCGCCAATCCACCGATAGTGGACATGATTGAAGAGCCGGCGGACGAGCTGAAGGCGCCCAAAGCGCCTTGGGACATCAGCGACTGCATTTTCTGCTTGGCATCCTTCTTGCATCTCGTGTAGCCGATGATATTGGCACCGCTAAGAGCCACAGCGACCACGACGATGAGAGCCCATTCCACGTTGAATTTGAGCACAGCGATGATGAGCAGCATGACCCACAGAGCTGGAGCGCCGTAGAGTCCCGTCCAGAAGACACGCGAGTCCAGCGGGTCGATCTCCGTCATGTCCTCGTGGGACTCAAAGACCCACTCGCTCGTGCCGTCCTCGTTGATCTTGTTCCACCAGCGCAGACCCACGAGCAATCGACCCGTCACATTCTGCAATAGTAATAGTAAGGCATCCACTTATACTTCAGTAGAGATCTCTCCTATTCGTACCTTGACCGTCCAGAAGTCGAAGGCCAATAGTAAGATGCAGACCACAAAGATGAAGACAAAGTTGCTGATGAAGATACTGCCGAACAGATACAGCAGCAATGCCAGGCCCTTGAAGAACAAGTGAAAGAAGGCAGCTACTGGGTGCTTGGCACTCGTCACCACCTTCCGCATGGATGTGAGTCTGCATACAAAATGTCAGTCAAAAACACTGAAAAACTCGCGGCGATTACCACGTACAGCGCCTCTTTGTCGCTAGCTTTTGGACTGGCGGCCGCCTTGGCGTTTGTGGATCTTTCGGTCGATGCGGGGACATTAGTCGGCTGTGTTTCCGGCTCGACGCTAATGAACTCGAGCTCCTCCTGCGGCTTCTTGTCCTCGGCCATCATGGTGGCAATAAGAAACTCTTCAGCGTATTGTGAAATGACGTTTGTTGGGACAGAAAATGGACAGTTGTTGCTGCTAATTGGATGAAATTACTTCCGACCAATAAAAAGCCGCTACCTAACCCACTCTGTCCAGCTTCGACTGCCCTACTTGGTCTTCGATACCTGGATGATGGAGCTCTTCGTGTGGATGCACGAAATGACCTCGGCGATGAAGGGAGCCACCGACAGCGTCACGATCTTGGGTGAAACCTCACTCAGGTGTACGGGGATCGTGTTGGTGGTCACTAGTTTGTCCAGCTCCTTGCAGTTCTGCAGCGTTTCCATGGCCTAGTTATGAATGGTAACACATTAGTTCCGACATCTTCAATACAGCCACAGCAATGCAAAAAATGCAGACAAAACGTACCTGAGCGGAATAACGGGCATGCACAGCAAAAGCCGAGACGGTCTTGGCTCCATTAGCCTTCAACACCTTGGCAGTCTTCACCAACGTCGAACCAGTGTCCACTAGGTTGTCCACCACGATGCAGTCTTTGCCCTTCACATCGCCCACCAGCTCACCAGGTTGGTCCTCATCAAGCTGATGCTTGCGGATTACGAACGCCAATGGTACAAACTCGTCAAGAGTCCGCGATAGAGTGTCCCTGAATATAACCGCGCGGTTTACAGCAGCCGAATGCGGAGCCACAACAATCGGGTCACCGACACTCTGCTCCGAAAAGTACACGGCACCGACAGGGAAGGCCTGGAGGTTGTCAACCTGTTCTCATTCATCCCAGTAAGCAACAGTTGACGCAGTGAACACTCCGTCAATTAAGTCACTACGCAACGATTGCGTTACCGTACCGGGATCTGCGGCTTGAAGAATCCCTCGATCTGCGCACTGTGGAGGTCTACCGACACAACGTGGTCCACGCCCATGGTCTCCAGCATACGAGCAATGTCCTGAGCAGTAAAACCAAGTGCTCAGTGAGTACCCTGTCTCTAGATACAACTTGTGCATCTCCAGTGCTCACCGCAGCAGCGATTGGTTCGCGGCCCTTGTGCATGAGATCCATGCGCGCGTATCCGTAGAACGGGATCACAGCTGTGATGCTCTTGGCTGAGGCTCGACGCATAGCAGAGATGGCCAGCAACAACTCCATTAGACTGCAATAGCAGGTACAACAATAGTTAGGTCTCTTTCTGGCTCTTGAACATGTAGACAGCCTTACCGATCCACTGTGGTCGTGGAGCTCACGATGTAGACGCGTTTGCCGCGTACATTTTCCTTGACGATGATACTGGTCTCTCCGTCATTGAAATTCTTGACTTCCATATCGTTGAGTTCGACGCCCAAATAGTTGGCGATCTCGTCTGCGATGGGCGTGTCGGCCACCTTGAAGAGCTTCATGGACTTGGCGGCGCTGGGGTTCATCTTGCCCTTGTAGAAGTGCCAGTGCTTGGTCGTCGTGTTCGGATACCACTCGCCCTTCTTGTCCTTTACTACTGCCTCCTTGCCGGCGTCAGTTAGCGCAGTTGACAGCTCTGCCTGCGACGAAAGGCCGCCACCAAGGAGACCAAAGGCTCCAGCCGCTGCCAGCGCCACCGCATTGCGGGTGGCTGACGAGCCGCTCAGCATCCGAAGACGGTTCTGTGGCATCAGATAGACAGCGTTTAGTTAGCTATAGACAGCGATCTCTAGCATTTACTGGGAGAGTTGGGCCGCACCATTGTGAGCCAATTCGCAAGTGAAGCAAGTCACGGCCAATAAAATGGGCGTGCTTAAACATCGTTGTATGTGGGTCACATTATATGATGTAGTCCACGCCAAGATACCTCTGCGACGTGTGATGCCTTGGTGTTTGTATGCTTAGTGGGAGATGGGCCTGGCCCTTGAACGGTTGGTGCGACCACGAAACGACCGCATTCCCTCACTCAGGCGGGTACAAGGCAACAAGCAGCGGAATCCTGAGACTGCAGCCGCCATGGGGGACAAGAAGTCAGATATGTACGACGTCAACTGGCAGAAGGTCTGGCCCGACCGCATGCCCGTGATCCTACGCGATCTGGCGCCTACCAACCCGTTCAACCCGCGCAATTTGTGGCCGGAAGAACAGGAGGAGGAGGCGCAGGCTCTTCAGGATAAGAAGAACGCGCCTAAAGAAGACAAGAAGGGGGCAGGTAGTGGCAAACTGAAGAAGGCGGATCTGATCCGCATGCAGTTGGCCAAGGACAAGGCTCAGAAACAGAGCAAAGTAGACGAGGAGAAGCTGGCAAATGTCAAGAAGTCTAAGAATCTGCTGGACATGAAGATGGTGACCCCCACGGGTCGCCTGAAGCAGCTCTACGAGATCTTACGCGACTGCTGCAAGAAGAAGGAGTACACAGACGCTGTGGACACGCTCTGGGAGATCCAGCGTACTAAACTCATGCCTGAACGCTCAGCTCTGGGCCCCGACGGCCGTAAGAAACACGAGAAACAGAAGAAAATGGACGAAGAAGAAGACGCCAAGCTGCTCGTGGAGCTCAACGCCGTGCACAAAAAATACCGCAAGTACGTCAAGATCGTCAACGAGTATCTGGCTGGCAAGGACCTCATCGAGTGGCAACTGACCGAGATGTCGGACCGCCTGCCGCCTCTGAACATGCACCACATGAACAAATTCATCCTGGACGACTGGCAACGCACTGTACTGACTCACATCGACCAGAACCACTCGGTTATCGTGTGTGCCCCCACCAGTTCCGGCAAGACGGTGCTCTCGTCGTACGTGTCAGTGGTGGGCGGTAAGGTGCTGTTCATCGTCCCCACTGACCCTCTGGCGTGGCAGGTGGCAGCTCTGTTCCAAGCCATGGTCAAGGGATCCGTCGCCCTCATCACCGAAGGCACAGTCTTCCTCCCTCCTGGATTCCGGATCGCTGTCGGCACGCCACGCGCTGTCGAGTCGACACTTGTGGACATTGGCTACGACTTCCAGTACGCAGTGTACGATGAAGTCCACGACTTGAACGGACCTGAAGGAGACGCCTTGGAACGTATCGTTAAGGCCGTGACGTGTCCCTTCCTGGCTCTATCTGCTACTATCGGTAACGCTGAGAAGCTTAAGAGCTGGTGGGAGTCCCACCATGCGCGTGACGTGCATCTGCTCGAATACAAGGGCCGCTTTATCAATCTTCAGCGTATTATCTGGTACGAGGAAGAAGCCAAGGAGGAGAACGCCAACAAGAAGCAGGAGATGGTGTACTTGCACCCATGTGCTGGTGTGACGTTGGAATACCTTACGACTATCGGTTTCGACGCTGGCGATCTGGCCTTCACGCCTCGTGATGCGTTCGCTCTGTGGCAGGCGATGGAGAAGTTTTACTCTGCGGAGCTGATCGAGGACGTTGATCCGCACAAATTCTTCGAGCTGGAAGACGAGACTGCAGTCGAGGCTGCTCCAGCCAGTTCGAGTAAAAAGGAGAAGAAGTCGAAGAAGGACAAGAAGTCCAAGAAGGACAAGAAGTCCAAGAAGGACGACGAGGACGACGAAGAGTTCGTTGTGGATCTGGGTAAACGCACTCATCGTATCACGTTGATGGAGTCCAAGAAGTACGAAGACAAGATCAAGAAGCGCTTGGAAGACCTCGCTTCCAAGGAACCCAAGGCCACTCAGTCGCTTCTCGACTTCTTCGCGCCGCCAGCCAGTCTGCAGGACGTCACAGTGGAGCTTCACGACCCGCGCGACACGAACCCTACCAGCGCGGTGGATGTCTACGCTCTTGTGAACCAGCTCTGCGCCAAGAATCTCGTTCCTGCCATTGCGTTCCAGCTCGATTCTGTTCGTTGTCGTCAGCTATTCAACCAGCTTCTGGCATCCATTGAAGCAGCTGAGATCGCCAAGTACCCGAACTTCCGTGAAAAGGTGCAGCTTGAATACGCTGAGTGGGAGAAGAATCAAGCGACGATGAAGAAACGTGAAGCCAAGGTGAAGGCCAAGGGCAAGGAAGAAGACGACCGGGAGGCACAGGCGTTCGAGGAGAAGCCGCCTCCGGACATCTACGCGCCGCACCCGGACTTCGTGTTGACTCCCGCTGGATCTCGTCTCACTGCTACGGAGTTTAAGGAGATCAAGTGGCAACTGCGTCGTGAATTGTCGGAGGACTCAGACGACGGACACGCTCTGGTGCGCTCGCTGCGTCGTGGTATCGCTATCTACAACCAGAATCTGCCGGCTGCGTATTTGCGTATCGTACAGGCTCTTGCTCAAGCTGGTCGACTGGCTGTCGTGTTCTCGGATGACTCACTGGCTTACGGTGTCAACATGCCGTTCCGAACGTGCTGCTTCTGTGAGGACACCGCGGACGACGTCCTGACTTCGCTCATGGTGCAGCAGATGGCTGGTCGTGCTGGTCGTCGTGGCTTGGACAGACAGGGAAACATTCTGTTCGCTGGTCTGTCGTGGTCGCGTATCCAGTTCTTGATGCGTGGTCTACTGCCGGACGTCACGGGCCGCAAGTCGCTGTATCCGACCATCGCTCTGCACAAATTGCTGTCGAATAATGTGACGGGAGACATCATGCAGCGTATTGTGACGCACCCGCTGCACGAGTACATGATTCAGGACGCTACGCCGTCTTCGCCCAAGCAACAGGAGTCGTATTTGACCAAATCGGTGGAGTGGATGACGCACTTTGGCTTGACGAAGCCTGAGTACAGTCTGGCAGTGGATGTATCGGTCGCTAAGCTGGTGTGGGAGTGTCGTGACGATCCTTCCGAAGCGCTGGGAATCTTCTGGATCTTGGAGGCGCTACTGAAGGAGTTCCATCACAAACCTGGTGACAATATCGCGCTGCAACTTGCTCTGTTCAACATGCTGCTGCGTGTTGTTGGTCGGGAGAAGTTCCACCCTGAATACGCTCATGGATCGGAGCTGGCTCCTCTTCCTGGACAAGAAGAGGCTTGGGAGAAGGTGTCGGCCTTGCTTCAGACATACGAAGCCAAGCTGAATGAACTGGGAGAGAACGCACCAGAAGAGCTGCGTCTGCGTGTGGCATTGACTGATCCACTCGACGGCTACGTGTTCCGCACGGTGGTGGAGAATCTGATTCCTCAGGGTCTCGGTACGTCGCAGTTGAATCAGATCAAGAAGCGTCTGCGGCACGTGGGCGATCGCCTTCGTTTGATGCACAACTTGCTCATGTACAGCGGACGATACGGTGAACTGGAGGAGATTGTGCGTAAGTGTTTCCGCCGTATCAAGTGGATCCTCATCGACTCGGAGGTGTAAGCCAGTCGAAATATCCGCTGTTGTCGATTCGGAGCCACGGAGTCTGCGGGTACCCATCGAACGAGACAAGACAAAGAGGGCGGCGCTGCGTTGGTCGTTTCCCGATACATGCGAGGCGGGCCGAGGCAAGCAATACAACTGTTTAGAAACACACAAAAACAAACAAGCGAAGGGTTGTACAACTGCGTCGTCGTCAAAAGCTCTGCCACGGGAATGCAACAGAAAATTGGGATAGTAACCCACAGCGACGACCAACATCTTCGCTGCTAGATATTTGACAAATAAAGGTGTTTTTGATTCCATTTTTGAGGTATCACGAGCGGAGCAAATTTAGACGACGTCTTTTGAGCGGTCCAAATTTAAGTCATTTGCAACTAAACAGATTTAGAAGATGTCATTTAAGTGGACTAATTTAAAGGATATCATTTTGAGTGGACCTAATTTAGAAAATACCATTTGGGTGGACCTAATTTAGAAAAATATCATTTGAGTGGACCACTTTTAGAATATGTCATTTGAGATGACCTAATTTAGAAGATGTCTTGTCACTGGACCAAACTGTGAGCATCAAATTGTCCACGCAAAGCATTTACAATTTGCGGCTTCAGATACTAAGCATAGCAGCCATGCTGCCTATGATCAAGCTGGGCGGCCTGGTGGCCCGCACGCTGACGAAGCCCCTAGCGCGTGTGGTCAAGTCACGCTCCAAGGTGCATCCACTGCTGAACTCCGTGTGTGGACAATTGGGTCAGCAGCAGCACCGACTGAGCATGAAGCTGCACATGGGCTTTCGAGGTATCTCCAACTACACCATCAAGCCCCTGCCGGCCGATCAAGCAGTAGAGCAAGGCGCGGACTTGGTAGGTGAGCTGCTCATCTTCTCTGTGGCGCTGGGTGTCGCATCGCTCGAGTACTCGCGCTCAGCTGCCAGTGCGCGTGCCAAAGAGGCCAAGCAAAAGGAGCTACAATTACAGGAGGAGAGAGAAATGGAGGCTCGTTTCGAGTATTTGGAAGGGCAAGTGGTGTGGTTAGAAGACCGTTTGGTGGAGCTTACGAAGATCCTAGAGAGCGAGATGGGCGCGAGACTGGAGCTGCTAGTGGCTGAGGCCAATCGACAAAAGGAGACACCACAAAAAGAGCAGGAATCGCCTGGAGCTTCGAGACTCGCGCGGAGACGACAGCAACGACTGGACCAGAACGTGCATGTGGGCGTCGACATTGACGAGAAAACAGCGGCAGAAGCTTCCACGTCAGTTGCAAAGCTTTGGAATAGTACATACGACGCAGTGGCAGGACTGTTCAAGTAGACTTGTGTGTAACAACGATGTCTTCTGCGACTTGAGAAGTGCTTCCGGGCTTGGAATTCATGTATTATTGCTATCAGGAACTTCTTTCAGCCTACGAAGAGCTCTTCGCTCATCTGAATAGCTGCCGTTCTGAGTGCTGCGGCCAAGTCTGCGCGCTCCTGCTCCACTGGGTCGATTTGTTTCTGTGTGTCTGGTTGTGGTGTAGTGCTGCGTGGGCCTAACGAACTGTGGAGCTGGAGACCAAAGTGAATGCAGCGTAGTACAAGTGTGGGGTGACGAACCTCATTCGAAGCGAACTGGAAAATGTCCAACCAGTTGGAGACTGTCATCATCCGGCACATCGCAGACGTCGTCGTGTGCCAACACTTGGCAGACCCAACAGTGTTAGCCAGATGGAGCAGTTCCCGTAACATTGGGAAGCTTTGGAGCTCCGTTAGAGCATTCACTGCGTCCTGTTGGGGCATTGGTAGAAGGTCTACAAAGTACTGGACACTGGATGCCCGGAACTTGCTGAGTCTGGCGATGATAATGGAGTTATTACCCTCTGGATCGTGACGGTTGTCGGCTTTCCATCCACGAAGCAGGTTACTATGTTCGCGCAACAATGCTGCAGTAGCTTTGACAAACTCTCCGTCTGCACAGCGGAGTTGGATAATAAAGTCTTGATCATCGGTACTATCAGGAGTCTTTTCTTCCCCTTCTCTCTCGTTGTTGTCGGTTTGGAAGACATTACAGTCCCTCGCTTCGATCTTCAGGGTTGAACATTTATCGCTACAGTTTAAGCAAATGGACAGTAGCGAGACTGCTAGACCCGCCTCGTCGTCCGCTTGGATTGCCGTCACCAACGCATCCGTTCGAAAGTCTTGATCTTCCAGAGCCTCGCGGATTGCTGCATTGCGTTGAGCCAAGATCTGCAATGTAAGCACGATATTCTTCTGCAGTAAGATGTTGGTGGAGCTCAGGATCGACTGCACACTCGCAGCAACGACACCGGATTGCCACGCCACCTCCTCCGTCACCCAATTCAATAGACTCCGACAACTCGCAGCTACAGCAGGGGTGTTGGCACTACTGGATGCCGACAAGAGCGTGCGATAAATAAGGACACAGCCCTGTTCGATCACAGCTCGCAAGATATCACTAGGAGGAGAGTGTCGGATTATCAGCTCCAGTGTTGTCGCTGCCATGGCTGCGATGTGCGAGACTGTGTGGCTCAAAAGCCAAGAGATCGAGATAAGGATGCCCGATAGACGAACGGCGCTGCTTAGAGCGCTCGACGAGGCGTCATCGAGGACAAGAAGCGAGCACAGCAAGCGCAAGGAAGAGTATTGGACGTTCGAGTCCACGCTCGCGACTCCGAGAGTACAGATCTGTAACATCGCTGCCGTGTCATCGAAGACAGAAGATCTCGCACCTCGGCGTTTGTTCGCGTCGGGACATGCCACGGCTGCCGCTGCAACAAGCAGCTCAAGGTAAATGGGATCGCATTCATGCTGACAACCACGTTGCTTTGTTGCGGTACTACTTGGTTGCGTCTCTGGGTCTGAAGGCGACGTAAGACATGCAGTAGGGGCGCATCTATCGTCACCAAGCAGCCAGGTGACGTAGTGCTGTAAGGCTGCCGATCTACAGACGTGCGTCGTCATGAGCCCACTGAAAGGATGCGGCTTTAGAGAGAGTAAAGTCTGTAGTCCCATCGCCGCAGTCCGAGCGATTGCAGGCGTCCATTCGACAGTCGTGGACAGAGACAACAACAGGTCCACCACCTCCATCACCTTGGGGGCATCGTTGCCTCCATTCTTGGTCTCGTCAATCTGGTCCTTGGGGTGGTCGTCATAAAAAGATGTCAACGTCACTCGGAGACTCGTGATCAGGATTTGTACTAGCCGGGGTGCGACCAGATCGACCTCAAAGAGCGAGTCGGTCCGCCCCGACCGAATGCCTTCCCTTTCGAGTCGCGCGTGACAGTCCACCACCTTCTCACGCAAATGCTCTCGCCACTGCGATTGCCACATGCGTCGAAAGAATTGGTCGCTTGATCTTGACGGCGCGGTCGCCACACGCTCCAACGCCGCCACGAGAACGAGCACAAGCGAGCTGTCGGATGCAAAGAGCAAAAGGCCTAGACGTCGCCAGCATTTGTCGTCCAAGGCCAGCAATTCCGTTGGAATGCGTTCGGGGTCGGGAGCAGCCCACAGTTGCAGCAGCGCCAGCTCTAGCGGAGCATCGTCGTCTCCGTTGTTCAGCAAGAGTGCACGTAGCGACGGCATCCGCTCCGAAGAGCTACGTGCCTCTAGAGTGTATGTAGAAGTGGCCATTACATCTACTAGCGGATACATGACCGATTAGGTAACAGCCACGTCGAGATGTATTTTTGATCGAAGGCAGCAACGGATGCACACGTACTACTGCTTCTAACGGAGTATCTGCATGTAGCTGCGTGGTTGAGGCCACACTGAATTCATTTTCGTCTTAACTTTTCACGGCGATGACTCTCGGAGGATGCAAGCGGCTTCGTGCGCTTTGAAGGTACAAACTGCATTCGTGCGCAAACGTATTGGCAGAGTGCTCAATCAACCCCCCGTACATATTCAAACTCTTCAAAGACAACGGGACTGGACAACAACGAGTGATGAAGTTCTGAACCAACAGCGTGGGAGACGCCACCTTATTTACTGCTGCTGCGGGGATGTCTCCACCGAGATGGAGCTTGCGTCGCAGCGTTAGTGTCCATGGCTCTCGGATTCACTTCAACAGCGTCGCGGTTGACAAGCAAAGAGACTTTTGAGGGTAACGGCTGTAACAGCTCAACCGGCCAATGGCAGCGCAGGATCGGACTAAACACGTCCTTTAAGCGGCGCACCTGCTGCATCCACCATATGCTTTCAAACTGACTTAAATTTTGTATTTTCAAAATAGTGACTTGGTTTTTGTAGGGCGATGAGGCCGGAATCCATCAGATTCGGCCCAGAAACTGTCACCAAAAGTGGGACCTCGCGTCACATCTTGGATACCACTCGTGAACCCTCCTTCAAAAAGTTGCGCGAGACTTTCAAACGTCTTGCAGGACTTGCTCATGCTCCGACTCGTAGCCTATGACTCGCAGTGAGAGCAAGCCGATCCCCACCGATTGCCTTGAAGCAGCAGTGCCAGTGCAGCGACGGCGTCGGCGCGAAGGTCACGTGGGACCTCGGGCGGCGCTCCGGATCTGGCAGATCCTCGCAGCTGGGGGGCAACGATGTTCGGCAGAGACACCGCGACGTGGACGTAATTGTTGCTGAGGGCCAATGCAGCGCTACAAAATACAGAGCTCTGCAGCGACACCTCCGACCAGCGCCAAGATATTCCCGCTCTCGCGTCCGCACCGAACTCAACTGGGCTTGTATCCGCTCGCCGCGCGTGAACACCAGCCGGTTGGGGCCAACTGGTGCCGCGACACCAAGGTGTATCCAAGCGGCTCAGATCGCTGTCAGCAATGCGTTCCGGCTTTGCCGTTGCGCTCCTTTTCTTGGCCATAGATGAGCCACGGGACCAGCTCGCTCACTTCGGGCCTTGCAGTCCATCGAGCGGCCGTGTCAGTTGAAACTTTTCCTCGCAGAGCGCAAACGCACAGGAACGCCCTGAAGTACGAATTGCACTCTAGCTTAGACACAGGTTTGATCCGTAGCAGGCCGAATGAGCTACCCGCACCGCTACATTCCACCTATATATGTGGACCTGAACATGCCGGTCACGCCCTCCAAAGACAAGGAGGCTCCGGCTCAGCAGCAGTCCTGCTCGCCCTCCAACGACTTCACCCAGTCGAGCAGCACTGAGCCGCGCCCAAGCCGCGCCAACTCTCTGCTGCTGGACTTGCTTGAGTTCCCGCTCGCCACGGCTGACCCGAATCCGGACGTACTGCTCAAGTGTGATCTCGACAATGTACTTGACGTGAGCAATGGACATGACACGCCGGCTGGCGCGCAACAGCAGATCTACCCGCTGCCAAATGGTCAGGATGAGATAGCAGACCAAGATGTCATCAAGATGAAGCAGAGCCAAGACCCCGAGGTGCTCGAGGAGGTCGCCGCCTTCCCCGCAGCTGTGTTCACCAACACGACCATCTCGGCGTCACGACCGGTATCCACGGCCTCGACGAGCACCGCCGTGCCGTCTCTTATGGCCCAACGTGGCGGACGCACGTCTCAGTTCTCAGCCAAGCAACGCCGCGAACGACACAACGCCAATGAACGACGACGGACGAACGCCGCTAAGGACCGTGTACGTGACATGCGCGACTCGGTCGCGGCTCTGGAACGCCAACGTGCTGAGCTGACGGCGCAGCGCGACGCCAATGCCGCCCCCAAGGAGGTGCTCCCACACCGGAGGATGGTTGAAGACGTGATGCCTCGTGAGTGCGTTGACGGCGAGCTGGGCTACAGTATCCCCGGTAGCTCCACGTACCTGGATCTTGCTAAGGCAGTGGACGAGCTTCGCGACGAGAAACGGTATCTTGAGGAACAGCTTGACCAGATGGACTCTCTGAACAGCGCCCTGCAGGCGATGCAGGCTGAGCTGGTCATTGATGCCACGTTATCCCTGACGGCAGCTGGAGCCAAGAAGAGTCTCAAGCGCAAACGTGTGGAGACTGACGAGGCCGCTTCGGACAGCAAACGCATGGCCATCGAGTCGTGCGAGCTAGACATCCCCAGTGGTGGCTACTGTCTCGAGACAGAAGCTGTTCCGTCGTACCTCCGGGTCCTCTTTTCAGAGCCCTTGACCAGCGACGCGGCCTTCAACTGGGTCAAGGACAGCTACGGTGACATCATGGCCCTCAAGGCTCAGCAGAAGCCCGCCGACTCCGCCGCCACCTCAATTCTAGGCTGGCGTGAAGACAAACGCGAGGTCACCAAGTCAGACGGCGAGAGTTCACTCGAGCTGATGATGACCCAGGACTTCCCCGGCATCGTGTCAGGCGAGCTCGTCTTCAACACGTGGAACCTGTTGACTGTGCTGGAGGCTTTCCAGAAGCTCTTCCCCCTCACCAAGGACCTGGCTGTACTGCAGACCATCAACGATGACTGTGTAGTCGTGCGTGTCGGTATCGCACCGACCCACGACGCGCCTGTGGTACACAGCATCGTGGTGCTCGCTCGAGGCCAGATCGACGGTGGATACCTCGTGAGCATGCGCTCCGTGCCGCTCTCGACAGGCCAGAAGGCCTTCGCAGCCGGTGAGGAGGCTTACCTCCCTGTGCTGGCATGGTTCATGCTGTTGGACAAGTACGATGAGTACGCTCAACCAGTGTGCGAGGTGATCGTGGGGGCTTCGACCCAGCACAAGTCCGAGCACGTTCTACATCGTCTGGCCACCGAGTTCGTCGCTGGTGCGGTGCGATGGCAGGACGCCGTCGGCCAGAGCAAACACTGGCTGCTTTAACGCTTCAGTATAGATGGAACATATTTAACCAGGTAGGATAGTAGTTCATCCGCACCTCAGGGCAGCGGATACAGTCGCGACTAACGCGCGTTAGTAAGAAGTAGGTTAGACTAGGTAGTAGTTAAGGCGTCTTAAGACGCAACAAATAACGCCGGCAGCGGCAAAATGAGTTACACTGAAATCGAAGTCAAGTTTGCTTCTCGTACACTAGTCCTTGAAATTTAGGCAGAGGACACAGGTACATTCCCATGCAAGACTGCAGTTGATAAAATCTCGAGACTGCCGCCACCACCGAGTACATGGAATCAATGCCGCTCACGCTCACTGCTAAACTTTGAAGTCAGAACTCTCTGCTTTTTGTATCCTGGGGATTCCTGACCAGGATCGAGTGCATCAGCGAAGCATGAAAAGGAGCTGCTTAAATCACGCTGCGCCGCTGACTCACCCATCCATATGAAACACGGCGCGCTACTGTCGGCGCAGCATCACGTGTGACGCATGATCGCTCAAAAGGATCACAGGATGTGGCTTCTGCAATGAGCATCGACAGTTTGATGGCATGATACGTATCGTATTCCATTAAACGCTAGTTATACCCTTTTGCCTTCGAAACCAACAACTTGTATAAGACTGCTACATTATCGATAAACAAATATTGCATACCTTTCCACTGTGCTACCATCGCAGTAGTCCCCGAGAGCCAGCCCCTCTGCTTTCCATGCGCAGAGCCATCTCTAATATTTCAATCGACCACCATCCTGGACTCGCGAGTGTTGTGCCTTGAATTTCTCCACCAAAAGTCTGTTTACAGTCGTCCAGCTGCTCGCCCGCGTACTCGTAGAAGCTCCACACAAACACATCCAGCCAGAAATTCTCTTTGTGCGGCTCCACCTTCCGACGTCCTCGACGTACAGGTGCTGTGCAGTCTCCATCGTGCTGTAGATAGGTCTTAGGATCCAAGTTGCGCAGAATCACCATACACCCGTCCTCTCCGAGATCCACGCGCATGGCCAAGATGAATGCTCGGACTCGAACGTCCGTGTCCTCGCGCTCCAGCGTGTAGTAGTACACGACGGCGTCCTCGTTCAGCCTCTGCACGACGTGGAAATGCACTTTCGCATCTCGAGGACGCATGATCACAATGGGCTCAGGCAGCGACAGGATCTCCCAGATATTCCTCGCCATCATGTCGGTTGCCCGGCCCTGGAACGTCTTCTCGAGCGAGAACATGAGCTTGTTTTGGCGCAGAACGTGTCGATCTCGCCAGCCCAGCACGCTCGTTCCTGTGGAGAAGCACGTGTCACTCTCCCGGAACGCCTTAATCTCTAGATAGGACTTCCGCGCGATCTCCGCGCACTGGTCCTGTGTCAACGGGTTCACCTGGATCATGGGGTTCCTCCTCTTGTGTTCCTGCTCCTCTTCCGCCAGCCTCAGGGCCTTCTGCTGGGCGGCTGCTAACTGCGTAATCTGTCTCTCCATTTCCTGGTAGTTGGCGTGCAGTCGCTTGAGCTCCACGTTTTCCTTGGACAGCGCGCTCTTCACCTGTGACAACTGCACGTACGCGCGGTGGACGGCGCCGCTGGGGTCCAGCTTGACGGCCTCAGGCGTCGGCTGCGCATCTCGCTGATGATGGACAGCCAGTAGACGCTCGTATTCGGCCTCCAGGGCGTCGACATCTCGCTGGAGATCGTCCAGCAGATTCTATCCAGAGAGAGACAGCACAGACCATCAGTTTGCAAGGGATCACTTAACGCTACTAATTAGCGACCTGCTCGCACCCGCTTCTTGTAATACAAGCGCTTAGCGCGTAGTCGGCTCTTGGTGCGCTGGTCAGCGGCGGCAAGAACCTCTTGGAGATCGCTGGTCAAGTCGCTGGTGAGGTCGGGGAGCTCCATTGGACCAAAATGCTGTGTTTTGCTGTGCTGAACGTTCTTCTTCCCAGGAAATTACAAATTATGAAGCAGTCTTTTCAGCTCACAACATAGTCAAACTGTTATAGACGTGACGGAAAGATGGCATCTAAACAATGCACAAGAGATGACGACCACCAAAGTTTGAAGCGGTTCTAATCAGGAGAAATGCGACTGTCACATTTTGGTCATAAAAACAATTTTATAAAGACCTTAATTTTAAGTTGTTGTTTAAAGATCACGCAACGGACGTCTTGCAACTTGTTTGCTGATCAAAAGCCAGAAGGTCAACGTTCCGGTGTACCATCATCGATTGACCCAAGCTCTATCCGGTACAAACCCAACAGCTCAGTAAAAAATCAGCGCAAGGCGAATGCTGAACAAAATGCTAGTATATTTTCTCATTACCGCTAGCAATAAATTAGCGAGTACCCAGTTGTGGGTGTTGTTGCTACTGTGACTTCTTGCACGGTTCAACGTCTCCGTTCTCTTCTTCACATGGCACACTCATTGTACACACATGATCTTCGCCGCCGTGACCAGCCAGCGTTTTCACTTACATCGTCCACTGCGCGCCAACGACGCGGTTCTCCCACCGCCAGTGAAGACACAGGATCTCCACCGCCATAAAATCGATATCCGCGCGCGACGGGTACGACAACAGACCGCCCGAGGTGACGGAGAACCCGCCGTCTTCTTTACACTCGTACCGCTGCCACATTGTGCAGTCCATGCGGCGCACGTTGTCGGTAGTTGGTGCCACGTTGATCGAGCGTGCGCCCAGCAGAAATCCGTTGGACAACTTCTTGCGGAACAGCACAGAAACAACGCGGTCTACGCGTGTTGCGTCGTGGTTGGTCATATCATACATAACAACAGTCTCTGTGCCCACCTTCTTGACGAGTTGCGCCTTGATGGAGCCGTAGTAAATGCACGACAGGTTCTCGGAGCTGCTCACATTGGCCCACGTCTTCTGCATCACCTCGTGCATGTTCACCTCCTTCGGGTACTCCTTCTTCAGAATGTACGAGAATACCCCGTTCTGGGTCACCACACTCTTGTAGCCCCAGCCGTGCTCGTCCTGGTGGTCCTTGAGCACCTCACCGTCCATGGAGTAGTTGAGAGCCACATTCATTCCCTCCTCCATAGCCGTTGCACAGGTAGACTCATCAATGGATTGGCTCAAGTGTTCCAAGTTGACCTGACTCTTGTCACTGTCTCGCAAAAGCAACTCGCTACGTTGCGCACAGCTCGTCGTGTCCGCCTTAAGCTGGGCGTTCTCCTTGGAGAGACCCTGGATAACACGCTGCAGCCTCTCGATCGCGAGTACGAGTTTGACTTTGTTGATGCTAGAGTCGTCAGCACCGGACGTGTTCATGCAGCGCGAGTAGTAGATGCGGTTGAGGTCGTTCACCTTCGCACGTAACTTGGCCAGCACGTGCTCGATCGGTCGTCCGTCACAAGGCCCGGACACAGCCGACGGCGCGGCAACGACCTGCTGCTGTACGTTGTCCGAGGCTACAGGGACAGCTTGGAACGGGTCGATGGCCTCGAGGAAGAAGGCAGCCATGGCGTCCTTCTCGTCTACCATGAACTGTTGCAGGAATGCATCGTCCGCTCCAATAGGGGACAGTAGCATACTGGTGGCGTCTGCACCCTGTTCCACGGAGATGGCGAGCGGGTCGTCTGTAACAGGCAGCTTGCCGCCGCTAATGGAGATATCTCGGATTTGAATGGCCTTCTCGTCCGAGAGGAACATCTCCTGGATCATACTGATCTCCTCACGCGTCCAGGACGCAGCGGGCGGCGCCATCCACTGCGACGGCGCCTGGGACTGCGAAGAGGACGAAGAACGGGGACTCGCGGCAGACAGCATCTCAATGAAGCTCATCAATTTGTTTCTCTCTCTTGCTACGGGTGCGCCAGCTTAGCTTGGTCCTTGGACGGGGTCGACGCTTGTGCTCTACTCGGCAAAAGCTCAACTGCCCGACGTGAAGTGGAGCTGCGAGCGCCATTGCAGATAACGCGACCCGTTCTGATGAGTGCGATGTTGCCTAACTCCGGATCTCTAATGTTGCTCTTGAGCCTCGTAATGCAAGCACGGGCATAAGGCATCAGCAAAGCGCGCAATATCCTCCGCCGTCTCTGCAATCAAAGCGGCGCGAGCGTAGAGATCGGCATTCAGACGAGGCAAGTGTCCTCCTCAGTGACGTGGAAGTGTCCACGGGAAGGAGCTGTTCGCCGACATAACCAACGCTGCACTCCTCGTCAGCGGAGCACCGCCGAGTCTCTCGACGGCAACGACAGTGGCGGCCCGTTTCGGCACCAACACCACCGTTTGTTGACACGATAGTGCCTGTAGACCAGAGCCGCTTCGTGCAGTCACGCCATGCTACGGACCGGCGTGTTGGCCGGAGCTATGCAAATAACAGATTCCGGATGCCTTCACGCCTGCCTGCCGCGGCGGCGCCGAGCTCCAATCGACTGCCACCCAGCGACGCGCCTAACGGGAGGCGGTGTCGCAGCAAGAATGGTCTCGGCGTTCGTCAGTTGTTCTGGACAACTTGTCCAAGCTTCCGGTAAGGCCCCGCGGCTGCCGACCGGCTGGCCTGCCAACGCGCGCAGGCAATGCACGCGTTCCGCTTTGGGCATTCACTTGCCATCGTGATGCGCCGAGGTACGGATTCTGCATCTTTCGGATCGCGATACAGCCGAAGCGCTGAGGAAGACAAAGCTGTCGATTGTCCTGAGCGCGGCGGCGCCAGAGCTGCCAATCTCGACCTAAATCCTATGCCTTCTCAAGCGTGAGGTTGTACATGTGTATCGCTCGCTCTCTCGGAGCAAGCCGGAAGGAAGAAGGCTGCCGGAAGGCGATCTCGCTGGACGCGTCGGTTTGACAAGTCGAGTCGTGTGCATTGTCGAGACGGCCCATCCCGCGTCCGCAATACATGTACTTAGTAGTGGACAATGACATCGGAAATTCTGTTCATTTACAATGCTTTCAGATTCGAATGTTAAAAAAATCTAAAGTGTCTTCTAACGGTAGATCAAAGCACTAACGTACTTGCCCGAATAAAAACTCTTCCTCAATAGAGTCCTCCTTACTAAATATTGATATTTCATACAAACACCTTGATAATTAATATCGGGAAATGTTGAGTTTTGGTCCGCTACGTGTAGCATTTACTGAAACCGGACTATAATAGGGCGCGTACATTTCTAAAAAAAAGAGCTCGCCAAATTATGATCACTCTCTCCAGATCCCTGTACTCTAAATAATTAGATTTGTGATCTGATGCACTACCACTTAACAACTTCTGGTCACAAAATAGTAAGAATCAAATGCAAAAGCACTAAGCGAACGCTTTGAATAGAACCAGGATCTGGCACTTCCCAAACTTGCAAGGGTCTACTTAAGTAGTATTTGTTAATAACTCCGTACATGTATTAATTAATTCTAGTTTATTGAACTTGGTGGAATTGTCAACACGTACGCAAATGAAACTTACTGTTAGTAAATGTAGCGTCGCTCGCTTCCTGTCCGGCTCGAACACGGTCTCTCAGAGACTCTTAACAAACCGCGCAGGAATCGACAATCACTTCCCGATGTTGCCTTCAAGGATTCCAGCGTCTAGTGCAGATCGGGCGCTCATGACCATTTTCGAGCCGACAATGGGCAGCCAAGGTGGGACGGAGACGGCAATTTGTGATCACTGGCTTTACCAGTCTATATACCGAGTACCAGTAGTCGAAACTCTCAAACCCCTCGAAGACTTCGAGTCGAAGGTAAGTTTGTGCCAAGTTGTGCCGAAGGCTTGGGCCCCAAGCATGGGAAAAGGTGGGATGAAGGTGAGTGGCGCCAGTCAGCTCGCCCTGGTGCTGTATTGTAGAGAGCGCGGATTGCCGCCGTGTCTTGCATTCTCTTCTCGAGTACGGAACCCCATTCGGATGCTGGTGTAAACGAAGATCTCCCCGTGTCTTTGCGTGGACTAGCCGCGACCACCCGTTATTTTAGCAGCAAATCGACCGAAGTAATTGGTGCACTTGTCACGTCTGGCACCGCCTTTTTGCACGAACGACACGCCCATTTCAAATTGCAATTTACGGTAAATTTTACTGCAGTCTATAGAAAGCAGTGAAAGCAGTGTACTGTATCCCCCCAGTAAATTTTACTGTAAGCGTAGCAGTTTGCAGTGCAAATTGCACAAGGAACAGTAGTCGAAGTTGTTGATAATAGTATTTGTTCTCTGCAATTAAGGATTTATGTATCCTGATTAGCTGTGGCCATGCAAGCAGATTCAACATGTTCCTGAAAGTCGTGTGCAAGGAAGATTGCTAAGGCTTTTTGACATGTACATGCAGCACAAGGTTTGTAATGACGACACCGAGCCGTTCCTGGTGCCGGCCGGTACGCAGCTGCAGGCCAGCAGTGCAGCAACTCGACAGGTGAGGCTTTGGGTGCGGTCGGGCTATCGCTTAAATATCCCAGGGATAAGCAACATCTCTTCCAAACAACAGGATTAGCTCTGTTCTCACCAAGAGATACTTGCAGTGTTGTCATCCTGACCGATATTCATTCGAGAGATCCCTGCATCCCATTCTCTCTCATCGAGATTCGATGGAAATGTACATGGTGAAACTCGGTCGGTTGGATCTCTGGTGTCTAATGGCCCGACGTCAGGGTGTTCACATTTTTTTGTGTGTTTTTTTTTCTTACCCGGTCAAACTGATCGAGGACCCTTCTGTTTAGCAGGATATTTCTGATATTTTCTAGAACTGAAGTGGTTTTCAGGTTTAGAAAACTGGTTTTCAATGCAATTTTTTTTTCTTCCAACCATGAGCCCCAAGCAGCGGGTGCTCCTGCTGCTGCTTCTCCTGGCGCTATGTAGCGTGCGGGGCATCGTGACGCCCGATGCGCCGTCCGATTCAGTGCCGGGTGACAGCACTGCCGCCTCTCCGAGCAAAACGGAAGCGTCGGCCTCGGAGCCGACGCAGAACAATGTTCCAAGCGGTGATGCTCACGCCACCGAGGCTTCCTCGAGCCCGCAGCGCATTAAGGAACCAGACGAACCCACGACGGACACGGAGCTAGCGGATGAAGACGTAGACCCTCTACTGGATGTACCCAGCGGTCTGTTTGAGGTGGTGGACGTCGACAGCGTGGACAACCGCAAGCGCCAGAACTACGCGTCACTGGACGCCGGTGCTACGATCCTGGACGCAGCGCCCGACACTAAGAGCCCCACAAACCTGTTAGTACCGGACAAGGACCGATATATGCTCACACCGTGCTCCAACCCTCGGAAATGGGTCGTCATCAGCCTCTCGGAAGATGTGCGTAAGGGCTGCAATGCATTAGACAAGAAATTGACGCTTTATCATTATTATTGCGGTGCTGCAGGTGCACGCGGACGCCATTGCAATCGCCAACTATGAGAAATTCTCGTCCCCCGTGAAAGATTTCATCGTACTGGGGAGCGTCAATTACCCTACGGACACGTGGCTCGTGCTGGGCAACTTCACGGCAACACACACAAACGGAGAGCAGATTTTCCAGCTGGACTCGCAACAACACGTGCGCTACATCAAGTTCCGCTTCCTGTCGCATTATGGATCCGAGTATTACTGCACGCTGAGTCAACTGCGGTGTGTGCTTTACTTTGCACTATTGATCCCCTTCCAGAGCTAACAGATTCGCTGCTGTGTCCTATTGCTGCAGAGTGTTCGGTCGGACGTTTACGCAAGTGATTTCTCAGCTGGAAAAGAGCATCGACGCTGAAGCGGAAGCTCTGGACGTACAGGCAGCGATCCCGGCCCCGAAGGTGTCGGCTTTGCCCGCCAGCGTCGAGGTCTCAGTGCCTCGTCTCCCTGACCCGACGGAGCTCACGAGTCAGTGCCTAATGGAGAAGAACAACACGGTTGTGGCTATTTTCTACAATGAATCCCAGCGGACTGAGCACTATCGAAGCAATGGAATGTGCTGCCTAGTCGACTATACACCAGAGCAGATTGAAGCAGAAGTGGCAGCTAGTTCCAGTAATAATGAGCACTTGCCTGCGACGAGTTCAGAAGCAGTTGATGCGGACGCTGGGGAAGGCTCAGTGTATTCTTCAGGCTCGTCGTCCAGTGGTGCATCCAGTTCGAACACCACCACGTCGAACGTTCCTGTCGCCAATGCCAACGCTACTGCACCCAGCAACACTCCAACAACATCTTCACTGCTGTCAACTTCTCACGGATTTCCAGCGTCATCAACACAAGGTCTTGGACGCCTGGAGAGCATTTTCGTGCGTATCACCAAGAAGAGTAAGCATGGTGTCAATGCATTGTCATCATTCCAGGTCCTCCTTACCTTTCTTATGTTGTGTTGAATTACTGCAGTCCAAGCTTTAGAGGTAAACCAGAGCGTCATGTCGAGGCAACTCGAGGAATTTCACGCTCACCAATGGGCAGCCATCAAGATGTTGCAGGTATTCAAGACTAAAATGTGTTGTTGCTGGAGAAAAACCTGTTGACATGATGAATATTATTGCGGTTACCTGTCTAGGCGAATCAAGAATCTCTGAACGAACAGCTGAAAGAAATTCGCTCCATGATCGTGGACCTGGTAAATCCTCAACGTTCCTATCGTGCTGGCGAGAGTGTGCTAACTGTTATGTTATCTGCAGAAAGATCATGTTGCCAAAGAACTGTCGACTACCGAGAAAACCTTGCAGACCTATGGTCGGCTACTTGATGAAGTTCGACGGGATAACATCGCGCTCTGGGTACAGTTTGAGGGAATTGGCCTGGGTATAACTTCAAATACGCTCATAAACTTTAATTTTTTTTTGATAGAACGAAATGTTGATCGTACGCGAAGTGATCACGACCATGAAGGCAGGAATCCTCTGCGCTATCGTCCTGTCAGGCTTCATCATCCTCTTCTACCTGCTTCGACTTCTGTTCCGCTGTGTGTCCAAATGCAAGGAGCGTGCTGATCTTCGAGAATGGTTTTGGCGGATGGAAAACCACGAGAGCAGCTCCGACGATCAAGGCAAGAAAGACGGCAATATGGCTGCAGGAGCTCTTCGCGTGAACCGGAAAGCCCAGTTCGGTTCATCCTGGGACGACTCAGCTATCGAACGGAAGACTCTAGTGAGTGACATGGTTGGTGAAGGCCCTCATAAGTTCCGTCGCCATCGAGCAAAACGAGCAAGTCAGCCGGCGATGGCTTTAAAACGCTCCAGAAAGTGAGGTAAATAAAGTTTGAAGCATGCATTCGGTATGAAACGGCAGCCTCTTGTGAGATCACTATAGCCGCAATAATGAGCTGTAGAGGGTCGAACTCGTCGTTCTCCAGCAGCAGCGACGTCAACTTCGACGATCTGGACGATCAGCAAGTGTTTGGCTACCTCGAAGACGATGACGAGTCGAGATTATCCAGTCCTGGAAGTCGATCCAGACGGTGAGTTGATGTAGAACTGGTATATGGCAACAACTGATCAGACTACTGCTACCGACAGCCCGAGTGCAGATTTCCGCTTGGATTTCTCGCCAAGGATCAGGGCGTCGTTGGCTGTGCCTCCCCCGGTGGCAGCAAACAAACCTGTATGAACTTTGGAAGGTCACTGAGGCTGTACTGGTGCTAACTCTACGATTCTACGTAGGCTACTCGCAAAAGTGTTACTACTGCTAAGCCCCGTTCTCCTTCCTTAAGTGCAAAGCACGTCGTCCTTCAATAATGATCACTGGCATCTTGATAACAATTCCTGTTTCTTTGATGTAGAAAGCGTATTGTGAAGCGTCAGTCGTCGTTGACTATCAGCTCTCCAGCATCAAAGATCTTTTCTCAAAAACGAGAAAACTCATCAGGAAACGTGCTGCAGGATTCAAAGGATTCAGAAAGGGATTCCGTTATCGAGTTGGAAACTGCAGCAGCCCCGACATCAACGACTAGCAGTGAACAAGAAAACGTTGTCGATTCTCGCCAGCCAAGTGAAAGTAAAGAGGCTCCTGCTGCACAAGACTTGAAACCTCGGAAGGCAAAAGTAGTTGAGAGCAGCAGGGCAAGTGGAACGGGAGCTCCTCTAGGAAATACAAATGCTCTTGTAGCTGCCTTGGCATCATTACAATCGCAAGTGGAGCTGCTGACGAGTGAGAAATCTCATCTGGAAGTCGAGGCGATCACAGCGCGAACGACTATTGAAAACTTGGAGCAAAAAGTGGCGGCTTCGGAGCAGAGTAGCGACCTGTTTGCACGTCAGCTAGCCAATGTGAAAGAGAGTTTCCAAGCGAAACTGATGGCTCGTGAAGAAGAAGTATCGCTTGAAAAGATGACGCTTGCGAAAGAAAAAGAGACGCAGCTACAGCACCAACAGGCTCGATTTACTACCGAGGCGGGGCTCTGGAAACACGAGATCGCAGCGTTGACGAAGGTGAAACTGGAACTGGAGAGTGGCAACGACCGATTAACCAAAGAGTTAAACGACGAAAAGCTACAGCGAGAGTTCGTGGAGACGAAGCATCGCACTCTAAAAGCTGAGCATACTCGTACATGTGAGGAACTGAACATTCTCTTACAAGAAAAAGAACGATTCGAGCACGCACAGGTGGAGATCCAGGAGCTTCAGTCTAAAATGGCAGAAAGTCATCACAAGTATGAGCTTCAACGTCACCAACTCGAAGAACAAGTGAATAAACTACTGCTTGATAGAAAGGACCAAGTTGCCGAGTGGGAGCGTGAGCGACAGCTTTCTTCTCGTCAGAATGAAAAGGAGAAGACTAAGCTTCTCCGCTTCGTCCAGGAAGTCCGGAGCTTGCACCGTTTGCTCCAATTATCTGTAGTTGAGACTCGAGAGCTCTTTAACTCTGAAGTGAAGAAGACGAAGGACGCTTTGGAGAACATCCAGCAACAGGCGAGCGACTTCGCTGTTCATCAGAGTGATCGTGATATGGCCTTGATGTCTCGAAAAGGTCGTATACTCCAGCTGGAGACTCACCTCAAGAACGACCGACAAACGATCAACCAGCTGGAAGCTACACTGGCAAAGTCCACGCGATCGCTTGAGAAGAAGCACGAAGCTCTCAAATTGAAGTATCAAGAACAGAAGGAGCACCTAGAGATCACGTTGGCAGTGCGTCTAGGACTCACCACAGATCTACAGGCCAAAAGGAAGCAGGTTGCAGAGCTGGAGCGAGAGGTGACACGACTCAACCTCGCCAAGGGCAAAACTGACGTTAAGCTGAAGCACTCGCAGCAACAGATTATCGCGATGCAAAAGGTTCACGCTCGTGAACTGGAAAAGTTGGCAGGTAACAAGAGCCAACAAGCACCGCCACCAGATCTGCCCCAAGATGAAAATGTACGTTCAGTGGCTTTATAAGATTCGATATGACTGAGAACTGACGTTCTGTTTGGCCGTGCATGTGTAGAATGAGAGAAAAGCTTTGCTGCATGACGATCCGGAAGGACCAGGTACGTCTGTTACCTGAATTCTTACTGGTATGAACTGAGCAACTGGAAACTAACCACTTAACTTGGGACAGAATGGAGGGAGTTCGTGGAGCTAGTAGCCGCGTACGAAGCTGAGCGTCAGTTGCATCAAGACCTTGGGGTGGCGACTCCCTACTAGGACATGAGTGAGAAGAGGAAGACAGCCAGTTATCATTTTCTTGGAACCAACTTCGATATTTTGTGAATTCTCTGTAAACTGATGCTTCTTTCACTTCGACTTCTCTCCTTTGAGTTATTAAGCGCCAAACTACATGAGTTCTGCTCTGCAAAACAATGCCAAACTTCGGAAGCGCTCACAAGAATGGTGTACGACCTCGGAGTCCTCGGTCTCACGCTTGTCAATGGTTGTGCAAATCGCGCTCCTTTTCTCTCTTCATTCTTCAACCTCCTCAGTGTCATTTTTTACCCTGTCAATATTATGCGCGACTCGGTCTCCACTGTTGCTGCCTTCTGCTCTGGACTGGCGGGTGGTGCCGCTCTGCTAGCTGCATTCCAGCACCTTGCGCGTCGTCGAGCGCTTGAGTCTACTCGCCCTTTGGACGTCCAAGATCCAGAAGCCATCCGTCACCCAGCCGCAGCATTGACGGAACTTCTGGTGCGCTACCACGAAAACCTCCAGCGCCGTGATCCTCACCGCGGCGAACCCGGTAGCTCCTCGTACGCTATTCGCTCCAAAGTGAAGCCCGGAGAATTGCGAGCTCAGCTACCTACTGCGTGTCCTGAAGACCCGCAGAGCTACGCCGACATCTTCCGCGACGTCGAGCAGCTCATCTTCCCTGCGCTCACTCACTGGGCATCTCCAAATTTCCACGCCTACTTCAAAATATGTGGTAGTGACCCCAGTGTACTAGCCGACTATTTGTGCTCGTCACTGGATGTCGTCGGCTTCTCGTGGGTCTCTGCCCCAGCAGCTACGGAACTTGAGCAAGTAGTCTGCGACTGGATGGCCAAACTACTGGGACTACCTGAGTGTTTCCTCACGAGTTCTTCTGGAGGTGGAGTCATTCAAGGCTCAGCGAGTGAATCAGCGCTGTGTGCACTCATTGCAGCTCGTCATGCGGCGTTGGAAGGATTGGAAGGCACAGAACGAGAAGAGAAAGCGGCCAAACTGGTTGTGTACGTGTCAGACCAAACGCATGCTATTGCGGAGAAGGGCTGCATGGTGTTGGACATTCCTCATCTGCGAGTGGTGCCCACGATTCGAGGCAAAGCTGACTCAGACAACTACGGACTGGCACCTGACGATGTGGCTCGTGCCATGGCGGAAGACCGAGCTAAAGGTTTAGTGCCATTCTGCTTGATGCCTACACTTGGCACCACCTCCACCACAGCTATCGATCCGTTGCGGAAGCTGGTCGCTGTTGCACGAGAGCAGCCTGAACATGTGTGGGTTCACCTTGACGGAGCTTACGGAGGAGCTGCTGCTGTATGCCCCGAATACCAGCATTGGCTGGACGGTGTAGAAGGCTGTGACTCCATTTGCATTAACACGCACAAGTGGCTGCTCGTGAGTTTTGATGCGAGTCTGTTGTGGGTGAAAGACCGTCGTCCTGTCATTCGCTCGCTAGCACTGGACCCAGAGTACCTCAAGAATGAGTTCATGCAATCTGCTCTTAACTACAAAGACTGGCAGGTGCCACTCGGTCGTCGCTTCCGAGCGCTCAAGCTCTGGTTCACCTTCCGTCGCTTCGGAGCTACTGGACTTCGTGCGCATATCCGTCAGTCGGTTGCGTTGGCTAGACAGGCTGAAGAGCTTCTGGAAAAAGATGGTCGTTTCAAGCTCTTTGTGAGGGCGCGGATGGGCCTCGTGTGCTTCTACGTGACATTCGGTGGTCGTGAACTCAATGAAGCTCTACTCCGTCGCGTAAACGAGTCGGGCAAGGCGTTCCTTATCCACTCGGTCGTGGACGGTGTTCACTTCTTACGTCTGGCGATCGGTGGACTTGAGGTGGACACTTGGCACATTGAGAACGTGGTGAACGTGCTCTCCGAGGCGCTTACTGACGTGATTGACGAGAACCCAAAGTGGCAGGAGCTTCAACGCGAAACCTTCGCGTCGGCAGCGTAGACTACTTTTTAAAAGGGGCTCAAATTTGATGGGCTATTTCAGACTGTCAACTATTCTCACTCGCTTTCGGGTCTTTGCTTTTGATCACGTTAGCGAGTTCCGTTGTCATAATGACGGAACGAGGCCGAGACCGCAAGTGGAGTATGCAGGTCACGGCCCTTTACGACTACGAACCTGAACGTATTCGATCGTAATTTCCCCTTGCAACACTGTGCTTCAAGTGCATCCGTTCTAATGGATGTGTGTGTACCTTTTGGAACTTGTAGAATCCGATGAGTTGAGTTTCCAGGAAGGAGACGTGCTGCGAGTTCTGCACGTACAAGATGACGGGTGGTGGTCTGGATACAACGTGGAGAGTCCCGATGTCGTCGGCCTCTTCCCATCGAACTACGTGCAGGCAGTGAGGACTGTTCCTCGGATACAGAATACCACAAATTTAGTTGATACAGGCACGACTCCACGGCCTCCTGCGAGCGCACGACAACGAATTCAGCAGCAGACTCGACAAGAGTCCGACCCGCCTGAACTCGATGATGATGAAGAAGAAGCAGACGAAGTGAAAGAACTGCGTGGGCATGTCGGAGCTGTCCTTCAGTTGCGCAAAAATCTGGAGCAGGCGGAGCGAGCTACTGAAGCAGCGCGAGATGCACGGCGGCAGGTTCGTTGAGTCTGTACTACGTCTTTGGTAATCTTTCAACTAATGACTGTCGTACGTAGGCAGAGCGAGAAAGATTAAGACAGCGAAAAAGCTGGAGAGAACGCGAACAGGTCCAAGATACAGAAGAAGAAGACATGGACCAACAAGCAGTTGAAGCGAATGAGGACGATACTGAAGATGAAGAAGAGTTAGTATTTCCACAGCTACAGGGCGACATGCATGAGACTGATCGACAGGAGGTAGAAGAAGCTGAGGCAGATAAAAGCTCCAACATCATCAAGAACGAGGTACAGGGTACAGAGAACGCAAACGCAGAGAGCGCTGCTGCCTCGGTGATTGCAAGGTGTTATCGAAGACACGTTGGTATCATTCGAACCAACTGCGAGCATGAACGGGAAGTTGAGCAGCAAAAATTAAGCGAGATCGCAGCAGATCACATTCAGCGGTGGGCAGCACAGGCCTATTCTAGACAACGTAAGCAAAAGGCAGCACAACGACGCTTGCAACGAGAAAATGACGCGGCTACTTTCATGCAGAGATGGATCCGCCTGCGATGGGCATGTTTCTGGCGCAAACGCGTGCAAATTGAGCGAACACTGAAAGAAGCCCAGCAAGCACGAGAGATTGAAAAGCTTCAAGGTGAAATGGAGGAAAAGAAGTGCCGAGAAGCTGAAAACGAGCATCAGCTAGCGAAGGAGAAGGAAGAGCGGCAACTACTTGAGCAAAAGATTAAAGAGGAGGAGGAACAACATCGAGTTCTGCAACAGAAGCTTGAAGATGAGCAACAGCAATTACGACAACTCCAGTTGGAAGCTGTGGAGAAGGAAGTGCACCGCCGCTTTATACAGGCACAAGGACAGGAAGAGGGAAATGGTCACCATGATGCTGATCCTGCAGCGCCTTCTCAAGCCCCTTCAGTTGGTAAAACACGTCGAAAGGTGATGAAGAAAGAGGCAGTAGACTTGATCAAGACGTTGGTCCAGCAGCAGCTTGGGGAGACTCTACGTGATCACGACGCCAAGATGGATGAGCTCCAACGTATGGTTACAAGGCTACAAACGGTAGTGCGGAAACAGAAGTAGTAATATCCAGCACATAACGCCGCCAGTTTTTTTTCTTCCCGTAATTTACCAACGAGAGTAGGTTTAGAGCTTCCTGACCACCAGCTGTTGAAATCGACTACAATACCGCTAAGTACCATCTGGTGCGAAGGAGGTCTCCTCCACACCTCCAAGCACCACAGACAAGATTCGCTAACTCTGATGTCAACCACCACATTTTGGATTAGAAAAAAAATGAGAGTTGATCAACGCGATTCGATATGATCAACAACTGATTCATATTGATCCTTCAGCTGTTCCTTGACAATCTGCATAAGCTGATTTCGAATATCTCGAGGTAGATTGGCGATAGCAGTGTTGATTATGTCAAGCTCGTGTTTCAGTTCGAGAATGTCCTGATGGATCTGTTGCGATGGCGTTTGGCCCATACCGTAGTTGTGTATATAATTTGGACGACAACAAATACTTAAACCAACTCACCAAGAGCAGACTTCAACTGAGGCATCTTTTCATTAACAAACTCATTCTTCTTCAACCACTGAATGTAGTTGCTATCGATACGTTGAATCTGTAGGATGGTCTTACCTTTATATTTCCCCCAAGTCATTAGGAATGATCCATCATCATTGACAAACTTACTCTTAAGAAATTCACTTATCGCAGGGTTGGAATCAATGAGAATCTTTTGATTCAGCAGCCAACGGCAGTAGCCTGGATCGCAGTTATATACTTCTGTGATCGTCTTTGCCTTATGCTTGCCAAAAGTTAAAACTGAGCTCATCATTATTATTATATCAGGGTATCTATATACATACCCCTAGAAAATATCTATAAAAATATTAATAATTAGACTTACACTCAACGAAAACTCAAATCTATTTATTTCGTAAGCAAATCACTTATGAGCTGCTGAGAGGCTAATTATCAAATATCACCAATAGATCAATCTCAATACATTACTCTTTTTTTACACCAGCTTAGTTAGCAGTGTATTCTAATACTTCCCCTGTCAAGCGATTATACGTCATCTCGTTCTCAAATCCGACATCACCAACATATTGGTACCCTGCGTTGAGGCGTTCGTTCCCATGACTTGGATGCTCTGTGGGACATCCTTCTCGGTCAAGCGAGATACATCAGCTACGAGCACTCTGTTGGTTTGCTGCCAGGTCTGATAGTCAATTAGACCATTCGATAGCTCCTTCGTCTGATCACCGTTGATCGAGGCTAGCTTAGAGAATTCATTGCAGAAATCCATGAAGTCATAGTCATACGAGATGTCAAACACCTGCTGGCTACCAATGCGAACATTGAAGTTGCGGATCGATGAACCAGGTTGAACAGTCCACGGGGCACTATCGAAACAGCTCTGGAACTGTTGAATGCTAGCAGTATTGAAATTACCGCTTGAAGTCTCAGCAAACGGAAGCAAAGCTACTACCTTAGCGTTCTTCAGCGAAGCGGATAGCTGAAGGTCGAATGCAGTATTCAGCTGGGTACTAGATACACCAGTACCTGCTCGCTGGTAGAACCACTGAGCGGAATAATCCATGTAACGAACGGTTTTGTTCGGCTTGCTAATTAGAGCCTGAGGGTTTTCAAGATCTACAAACGGAACGTAGAGTCGAGTAGTCGTGAAAGGGAAGTAGGTTGAATCAATTGTAGGCTCGAGCGAATTGGTAATAGCACCCCAAGCTACTGAGATCTGGCCAGCGGCACTGGTTCCAAATACACCAGAATTAGGTGCAGATCCAGCTGAAGCAGCAACCATAATTGGGCAGGATTGACCCGAAACAAGCGTTGTCGACGACAGAGTCATAGATTTTGACGTGGCAAGAGCAATCACAGACGAACCCTGATTCACACGGAAACGAAGCTTGATCTGGGGATTAGCCATGAGATCGAGCTCCTTGAAGATAGGGTGGAGATCAACAAGCTTGATCTTGAGCATGTAATTCCAGGTGTCAGCAATAGTTCCATGAGTTGCAGTACCAGGAACAAAGGCACCTCGTCCGAATTGGTTTGAAATCGTGTTAGCAGCTCCAGAGGCAATAGTTGGCCAACCATTCGTATTTTGGCCTCCAGCCACAGGGGGGTTGCTCAGGAGTCTCTTAACAAAACCGTCATTGGCTGGAAGGACGCCAGCGCCAGTAGCAGCTGTTCCAAGGGCAGGGGTGATGTCAGAAGCAGTAGCGGAATACCCATCACCATACAGACTGGTAGTAGCGGATGAGAATACCAACGATCCTGAGGAATCTGGAAATAGGAAATCCTCAGCACCATGTTTATTCACATAGTCAAGCGAAGTCTCCGCCTGAGCGCGAAGGTTGTTAGCGAACAGCTTGTATTCGGACATCGAAATCACGCTCTTACCATTAAGCTCAAGCGACATACCATCGATAACATTCCAAACACCGCACTTCAGCCCGACGGAGAGACGATTGGCAGCCGCTGCAAGATCGGTACTCGCATGGGTGTTCTTCATCGATACCTTGTACGGAATGACTACATATGCATCACGAAGGCAAGCAAACCCCTCAGCGCCATTTAGCTGAGCTGTGGCATCGATAGTGATAATGCCATTAGCGTACGAACCCTGATTAAGATCGATTACGTACGGTACACGCTTACGGGAACTGACCTTTACGGCCGGGTCGCTCTTCAGCGAGCTCTGATACAGAAATTGATCAGCGAGTTGGGTATCGGTCATAGTTGATTGTAGTTATATCTGAGATGATATAGCTTCCGTGAAAAAATAAATAAATGGAGCTCATTAAAGGGATTAGCAGCGATCATGATCTTATAGCATTAGCCGAGAAACTCAATGTGCATCTCGACGCTATTTATGAGTCAAATGAGATCCAAAAGCCACTTCCCAAGAATGGTTCGTTCCTGATACTTCTACGTAAGCCAAATCAGGATGTAGGGCATTGGACGGCAGTCTATAACCACGAATACTATGACTCTATGGGTGAAGGGCCTCCGCGCGAGTATGGTATCAGCAAATACAATGAACTTCAAACTCAATCAGCACAGGGAGAATACTGTGGCATATGGTCGATGCTATGGTTATACGCGAAGCAACATAATCGTATGGATCTATTCAAGGAATTTAAGGATTTAAATATTTTTGTTGCAGATTAGTTCTGAGTTAAATATACTAACAGTCATGTACCGCGAATTAACCATTTCAAGCGGAGTCCCAGCTCGAAAATTGCGAAAAGCTTTTCGTGATGGCAAGCTATCGCTCACAGCAGCCGAGCTACAGGGATCAGGAGCTAAATTACATATCCATCCAGAATCACATGAGAAGGTGCTCAAAGCTAAGAAAGCCGGCCGTGGCGTTCGTCTCCATATCACGAGACATGAAATCAAAAAGGGGTACAAGAAGGCTCTTGGCTCGTCTGTCTGGAGCAAGATCTGGCATGGAATCAAATCCGGTTTCAAATTCACCAAGGACAGTGGGTTACTCAGTAAGGCAGCCGATGCCGCCGTTCCAGCGCTTGCGACTGCGCTTGGTCAACCAGAACTCGCAGTACCTGCCAGAGCAGGTCTAAAAACATTAACAGGTGTAGGGCTGGATGGGTATGATAGTGATGAGGAGGGTGGTCGTATCAGTATGGCTGACGTAAGGAGACACGCTGGTAACGCTCTTCGTTATGCTAAGGAACGAGGAATTCTCACGGATATTGCCGATGCTGGTGAACGATATTTAGTTAGCAAATCTAATAAGAAAGAACATCATGACATGATCCATCAAGTTCGAAGGACGATTAAATCTCGCTATGGTATTGGGGTCTCTAAGCCACACAAGGCTAAGTTTGTGAAGGGTTCGCAAGCCGCAAAAGACCATATGGCTAAGCTTCGCGCTATGCGCAAGAATAAGCACGGAGGAAGTTTCACCATGTAAAGCTCTCTCGCACCTTCTCGATGCATAAAGCGATATCAAAAAAAAATATTTTTTTTATCCTTTAGACTTAACTCAAGGAATGCCGCTTGCGTAGTAGTAGCATGATATTAACGCTAGTATCGCGGAAATGGACTCGTTGATCGTTCTGATTCCAGATGCTAATCGATACTGTATTCCTTGCTCCATCATGGGTACGACACCAAGTTTCGTGACTTGGAAAGTATTGAATCTGTTTCCCGATCGTTGAATCACCCTTATCGAACACAGACATGATATCCCCACTAGCTACGAAATCATTCTTGATTAGATCACACCTGACAACGTAGGAAGACGTAGGCGAGATCTGAGGGATAGTGTTGGATAGAGTACTAACAGCAGTTGTTGATGGTGATGCTGGATATGTACTAAGCGTTAGACCAAGCAAAGAGCCAAAAGCAGCGTTATTGATGATTAAACGCGGGACGCGAGTTGTCGTCGGCAAACCAGATCCACCTGTTGAATAAAGGCCAGTGGATGGTCGGCTATATCCAGTAGGTAAAGAGGTTGGAGTAGCGCTGCAGTCAAGCTGGCAAGCGTAATAGGTCGAATTCTCTTCGATTTGAATATAGAAGACATTGTTACCATTAGAATCAATTAGATATGCTCCAGCATTGACTAGAGCCGTTTGAATATTTCGATTGATATCACTGTATAGATAATAACCATCAGCGAGATTGACACTAATAACGCTTGTTGTTGCAGCTGTTGGAACTTCGATTTGAAAGCTGGTATTGGCGAACTGAATCGAATCAACGTTGAATTCAGAGTTATATAGAGAGATCGATTGAATCGATGCTTCTACATCCTGGAAATTACAAGCAGACCCAGGGAAAGTATACACCCATCGGCTATTAAGCCCATCCTGGACTAGACAGGTTTGGTCAATTTTCACAAATGAACTCATTCAGAAGACTGCAGAGAACTTGTTCTCAAAGTCTTCGTCTTTTCGACGATACACCGAAGGTGATCAGGCAATCTTCGATTGCACCACTTCGTTCTAATACTTGCTGCTATATGAGACAGCTAATAATTTTCTCCAATATTAATCGTTTGATCAAAGTTATACCGTATCTGTCCCTTTACACTATCGATGAAGAGCATTTGACCTTTTCCACGAGCAATAGCGCGATTGTAGTAATGCATGATTCCATCTTCGGTTAATCCAGGGATGTTAAAATCAGTAATCAGTAGCTTTAGATCGCGACGGGAATTCGCGCGAAGTATCGCTACGTATTCAGTATTCAAGCGAATCATTTTATCAGT